ATGAGACAGCCACTAGAGGCTTTAGAGGCTGGATTAACCCATTTATAAACATAGCAGTTTCTCTGAAACTGCTATGTTTATAAAAGAAAAAAGTGTTAACTCTAGCTGGACCAGGCACCCAGACCACTTCATTAAGCTGAAGTGGTCTGGGTGCCTAGAGTGGTCCTTTAATATCAAGCACAACAAAAATAAAGAATTTTTAAAAATCATCATCTGATTTATTATAATTAGTTCCCCAATTCCCTGAGTGCCCATTATTTATTTTAAAGTCGTCATCCGCCCCCCCCCTCTCCTCCCTGTTGTCCCCCCGATACCCATGGCAGGGGGGGGCATAGATATCTTTAAACCTTCCTATTTAATAATATTTGCCTTGATCATATTGACCCCAATAGGGTTTTAGTTTCTGTTGATAATGATTTTTTACTTTTAATGTGAGGTTGACCACATAATTAACCCCCGTGAAGCAGAAGGTTTCTAACTATTTGCCAACCTGTAGGGCAAATAGTTCCTAATATCGTTTGCTTGCATGAAAGCAAGTGAACAATAATTTGAGAATTTGCTTCCTGCCAGATCCGTTCAGCTCCAAATGTTATTAATATCATTGCTTTATGAATCTTCAGAAGCATAGGATTTGTATAGGATTTAAAATGCAAAAGCACTGACTTTAATACAGACACTGAATGTATCTGGGCTACTGCTGCAGATGTGCTTAGGCCAACCAATTCTGACCGTATTTGGCTTTTGTAAATATGAGAATTGAAACTATGGTCAGAATTCAGTAATTTAGGTGTCTAGGTGACTCTCTCTCAAGCCCTGGTCTGTCTCTTGCCCCTCTAGGCAGTGTTAATTTTGGCGGCAAGTTTCAATTTAGTTTTAGTCTTTTGACTAAAAAGCCATGTTAGTTTTAGTCGTATTTTAGTCATCTGAATTGTTCTAGTTTTACTCAACTAAATCTAAAACATTTTAGTCAACTAAAATTGTAGATTATACTAGCTTTAGTGTAACTATAATATACATTTTATTAAAGGACCACTATAGTGCCAGAAAACATACTTGTTTTCCTGACACTATAGTGCCCTGAGGGTGCCCCCACCCGCCGGGCTCTGGAGAGAGGAAGGGGTTAAAATCTTACCTTTCTCCAGCGCCGGGCGGGGAGCTTTCCTCCTCCTCTCCTTCTTCCTAGCGACATCATCGGCTGAATGCGAATGCGCGGTAGGAGCCGCGTGAGCATTCAGCCAGTTGATAGGAAAGCATTTGCAATGCTTTCCTATGGACGCTGTCGTCTTCTCACTGTGATTTTCACAGTGAGAAGCACACAAGCGCCTCTAGCAGCTGTCAATGAGACAGCCACTAGAGGCTGGATTAACCCTCAGTGTAAACATAGCAGTTTGTCTGAAACTGCTATGTTTATAAAAAAAAAAAAAGGGTTAATCCGAGCTGGACCAGGCACCCAGACCACTTCATTAAGCTGAAGTGGTCTGGGTGCATATAGTGGTCCTTTAATGACAGGAGGCGAATATTTGCTTAAGTCTCTCTTTACTAGAACTCCACAGCAACACATTAACATAGAGAGAAAAACACCAGAGACAAAAAACTCAGGAATCCATAAAAGGCTTCTCCCAACCAACTAATTCCTCTTTCACGCTCTTTCACGCTGTGACAAAATAAAGTACATGAACGATAACCACAAATACAATAACAAGAGAAACATAAGATAACGATGAATGCCATCCGAAATTGGAAACGTGGAACCAGTGGATGAAGCCTTGACCTTTATCCTGTAGAGTAGTCGGATCTAAGAATTGTAGCCGAACCATTAAACTGAAACGAGATAAGTCGAAAACACTGATTAGCGAATGAAATGTACTGAGAAAAACATGAATCCCCATCGTCAATACTGAGAGTATAATATTCCAGATACTGAGAAAACATGAATCCCCATCATAACATACTGACGGTACCATATCCCAGATAGACTCAAACTCCCTCAGATTAACAAACCTAGCCCAGGAGACCAGGAATAAACAAAAAAGTCAGTCAAACCAACCAACAAACCAGGGAAGGGAGAAACAAGGCTCCACACTATTCCTTGCCTAAAGCACTTTATCACCTCGAAAATGGGCAAGTCACACCGAACATCGCAACATACTAAACTGGCAGACACCCCCAGGGGGACTCCGTACCCCTCCCCGAAGCAATATCTAATCTCCCCAGCAAACACCGACCCACAGGCCTCCAATGACTCGATGGCCTCAGAGGGCCTGTTCACACCCTCCCCGCGTAAAGAAGAGACCCAGGCAGAAGCTCCGAACCCTCCAACTACAACAGATGGCCTATCACATGGAGGATCTTGATAATCGGAGCAGGAGACAAAATATTAGGATAAGTGGAGTGCCGGAGGAGATCGACAACACCACCCCAGTACAGGCCACTCTGACCGGACTATTCAACAACATACTAGGCCGCTCCCCACGGGACTCAATTGAATTCGTGCAAGCCCACAGAGCATTGTGGCCCATAGGCCCAGCAGGGAACCCACCTCGCGATATAGTATGCTGCTTACTGAGCTTCCAACTTAAGGAAGAAATACTCCGGAGGGCCAGAGACTTGGGCAGGGTGTACCTAGAGAACACAGAGGTACAACTCTACCCCGACCTATCACCTGCCACACTAGCATACCGGCGGGCTCTACGCCCCTTCACCAAACATCTGCAGGCGAATAAACTCGGGTACCGCTGGTCCTTCCCAACCGGGCTGCAGGTCCATACTCCTAAAGGCCCCTTCATTGTCAGGGACAGGAAAGACCTGGATGACCTCGTGGAGGAGCTCCAACTAACCCCCGCTTACATGCAATGGCCAGACCCATTAGCACTATATACACCTGCCATGGGTACCCAGAACCCACCGATCCAGAGGACCAGCAGGCGACCAGGCCCTCAGGGGCACAAGCCTAAGGGGGACAACCAACCCACGCCTAGTATGCGGACGACACAAATAATCACACCCTGACACAGAGAAGCACGCCCAGGTAGCGAGGGGCCCATACCAAGCCCGACCGGGACATTCCACATTACCAAGTTGCAGCCCCATCCAACAGACCCTACCCTTGCCATCGGACTATGCACCGGGAATTCACGTCCTGCAGCACTCACGAGACCGAAGCCTCCGTAGAGACAAGTCGACCTGAGCAAAACCTCAAGCCGTAACAGGCCAGATCCAGGGACTATTGGACTTATACCTTCCGAGCAAATCGCAAGTATCTAACACACCCGCCTGACAGGCATCATGGACAATCCCCCTCACATCTCACATAGCCAGCACACCCCCTCAAGGGGAAATAAGGGAAGAGAGCCGGGAACACCTTGACAGGAAACTTGCTCTCTTGATCGGTGGGGGGGGGGTCGCAAAAAGGCTGACTGACCCGGGCAACCGCTTCCCCCAACACAGAACCCGTGATGACCCTCCAGGGCGCGGGCAGGGGAAGCGAGGGCCCGGTTCACTCAGGGGACCTAGAAGGCCACAAGGCAGCACATTGAAGGCAGGGCGCGGGGAGGGGAGGGGGTGGGAGCCAGGCGAGGCCCAGTGGGGCAGAGCAGCTTACACGAGGGGGAGGCAGGGGAACCCAGGTCGATCCCAGAGATCCACATCTCACACTAACATCAGAAAGCGGAGAGTTCATTTTAGCAACCATATCCAGAGTAGCAAGAACAGGGCACGATACGCTTACCCCCCCACCCCCCGCATTTATGAAGGACAACTCACTGCAGGGGGTTCACAGATACTGTGCTTATTGAATTTATTACATTCTCATTTTAATGTTATTGTTGAAAACATTGCTGGTCACGCTGGCCTAGCCGCAACGTTGCCTAACTTCAGTTCGAATATATACATTAAAGTTTAAGTATTATATAATGTTATACGCCCAGGGTGACGGCCCGTCCATATACACGTCCTTTGGCGAGGACAGCTGACACCCCACCATGACAAGAGCCGCAAAAGGGGAGACACGGGAGACTGACCGAACCAGATCGTACAAAACAGGTGGAGACCGCAGGACGTACCACCTGGGAGCGGCCTTCCACACACGCCCACAACCTGCCGGGAGATCTCTGCCCTCCTCCTATTCCCCCACGGGACAGGCGTCAAAACCAGGTGAGTGGGTCCTTGGGCCCACAGAAAGGCAAACAGGCCAAGGAGAGCGAGGCGGGAGTCCCTATGGCGGTACTGCTATGGTTGCCGCCGGGGACTTGGAGGGAGACATGGACACACTCCCCCTACACGAGGGCCACCCTACAGGAGTGGCACCGCATGAAAGGGAGACACACCCTCTCGTCATACCCATAGCCTCTGCTCCCACTGACACACAACCCGGAATTCCCACCTGGACTAGACCCGAAAGCATTCCAAGACCTTATACATGACCCGGTACCCAGACTCAGACACATTTACAAGCCAGAGGGCATCAAAATGCCAAGCGACCTCCGATGAGACGCAGTCAGCACCTTCCTGACACAACTAAAATACAGGCAGATACGGCACTACATCGCAACCCTCCCACAGGGCGCGATACTAACAAGAGCACCCACAACATTTGAGGAAGCATGTCTGGACCCACAACCATTGGCCCACGGGGAATCCTTCCTATACACTTTGCTCCTGACACTTACGCCAACCACACAACCAAGCTTCATGGGAAGGTGGGAGGGGGCCCTGGGACATACGCTTACCAGGGTAGACTGGGAGAAAATCTGCTACCTTACACATCACTGCTCCAGCTACAGCAAGACTCAGGAAACAGCGTACAAAATATTGACCTTCTAGTACCGCACACCCACGACACTACACGCGATCACACCAGACCATTCTCCGCTGTGCTGGAGATGCGGAGTGGAGAATGGCACACTCTTGCACATATGGTGGGGATGCAGATCACCCCGTTCTGGAAGGTGATTCACACAATGCTACAACTCTTCTCAGATGACCCACCCCCCTTTAGACCTGCGGAAATGTTGCTACACCATACCAAGATACCCAGGTCCATATACAAAAAATCCCTGACAATACGCATACTGAACACAGCCAAATCAATCATACCACAATACTGGAAGCAACCTATTACCCCACCACTGAGAACCTGGTTCTCCCACATGGAGGAACTACGATCCCTAGAAGAACTACAACACACAGCAGCTGGCACACAACAAACCTACCTCAACACATGGACTCACTGGCTACTGAAGACGACAAAACCAGACTTCACCGACAGACTACGACTCGACGACGAAGACTGATCACAGACCCCAACGTGACCCAGACACCAGACAATGACAGAAACCAGACCCCCAACACCTTCACCAACCCCCTATACCAACCCACGACCTTACACACCCCAACCCACTAGCAACAACTCAAACGGGACAGCTGGAACCATCCAGGGAACCGCCCCATATGGGGAAACACGGGAGACCGCAACCACAGGAACCCCACAAGCGATTATGCTCCCAACACACAAGACAAAACACAGCGAGACACGAGGGGAACACCACAGGTCCCTCCACTGACTGACTTGGGCGAACCTATCATAGCGCATGCCACACAGCAGGGACTGACCCGCACCAGGCCCTTTGGGCACTTACCGACACCACATAGGATCCACCCACTAGAATACCTCCAGAACATAACCAACCAAATGAGACATATTGAGCAGTGGATACAGAGTCCCTAATATAACCATTACCAAAAGGTTCATGCCCACGGGACCTGCATGTCCTTCCACCACAGAGGGCCTGCGAGCCCACCTAGAAATGCACATATCAGAACTTGTTAATCTCCTATTGCCTTGATAAGCGGTGGACCTGCGAGTCAAGAAACCGAATGCATCTACCTTATTTCTCTTGTCAATTTAAAACCAATAAAAATTACATTTACAAAAAAAAAAAGCTAGTATAATCTACAATTTTATAACATGACAGGAGGCTTCATATTTGCTGTTTTAACGTTTGGACAGCAAAGCCCAAAGAAACACGATCCTCTGTACCAACCTAACTTAGCGAAGATAGTTCCCGTAAGTGGCAGGAAAATGTACAATGTCCTGGAGAAAAACGCCCGCCATGACGGCGCCTGAAGACGGTGAGTACCGACTGAAATGAACCGAAAGGCCTATTCGCCCCGCCAAAAACCACTGGGCGGTACATGAAGGGCGAAAAAAAGAAAAAGAACCGTCTAAACAAACAGTGGCGTCGACCGCAACATAAAAAAAGAGGGGCGTGCAACCAAGACAAGAGTAAAACCCTCAGGTCAGACTAGAGCCGATAGACAACTAAGGTCCAAACATCTGAACCCATCTGAAAGAAGAAAAAAGGGTATGATAAGGGGAACAAATCCAGAGTCGGAGATGGACAAAAACCGACGAAAACCGGCGATTGAGGCATGACAAACAACGTGTACCCCTTGGGGAAATAAATACCCGTCCTCGGGAATCGAAATGACTCACACCCCTATGAACCCACATGTCTAGCTCGAAGAGAGATACCAACAGAGCGAAGCCCGCCGAAAACAGTCGTACGCCCTACATAATCTAAGTGATATGACAGTCCCCGGTCAATAAAACGACCAAACAATAATCGAACCCTGTAACAGTGTTTGCTAAATTTCTGTTAATCCGTACCAGACCCAACTCCGTCAGGGTCGCCATGCAGGCAAACGTCTTACGATCAAGTAGGACAGGTCCAGGGAATCCGGGTACTAGTCTCGACTCAGCCAAAGCGGAGGTCATAAAACCAAAGTAACAGCAGACCGAGACACTTGTAGTAAGGTCCTTGAAACAACAATGGAGGGGCCTCCTCAGCGTCTCCGTGTCGAAACACCCCTGGAGGGAAACATCCATCACTGAGCAAACTGGTCTGTACGCTCTGGGGGGCAACTCGCCGAGGATCGAGCCAGCCCGTCCAGGTAGACAGTCCCGCGAAACGTCCTTGTGGAAAAAAAACTAGAAGGATCTCTTCGGATTGTTCTGGTATGCCCGAACGTCCTAAATTCATCCAAACCTGCCAGCCAGGCTATATTATCCAAAATGAATGACGCCCCAGGTCCTTATGTCGCCAGGGAGAAACTTGAGCCCTCCTTACCAAGAATGAGCCCCGTGGTCCGGGAAGTTCCCTGAGGACCGCGTCTAATTCAAAGTAACTAATGGCTATACCTTCAAGCTTAGTCTCGTGCGGGCTCCAAAGGTCTCAGATCTCTTGATTCCAAGCACCTCCAGCGGTCTGAATTGACTAAGATAGGATCTCCTGCAATCCCCAGGTTCGGGGTCCCGTCTGTTATGTAATCCTAAGGTGGAGGCAACTGTGACATTCCGGGCCCAGGGTCCATTCCCTTATAACAGGTATGGGTTGGAGCTTTAGATATGTCTCCGTAATGTTTTTTCATATGAAAACTGGGACCCAATATTCTTCCATGTAGGACAACACTCGTGTGGGCCGTACTCCGGATCTCCTGTATACTAGATAGGCATTGCCACCAGGAGAGCTGTAGGGCCCCATCAGGGTCTAAGTCTGGGTATGAGGCTACTTTGTTCAGGATCCCGGCTGGGTATACCACTCCAAGTATCTTGCGGGCTTCTCAAGTCAGCGATCTACGGTCCCAGCAACTCACCGATGGTACTAGGTGCCCGGGCCAAGACCCTTCCGAAGAAATGAGCAATTGGTCGAGACGACCTCTTCTTCCACAGTCTTCGGAGCCCCTGTAGTGGCTTGTTCTCCGTCCCGCGGTGCCATCGTCCTCTCCTTCCAAGAGGGACCGGCCCGCCCGCCATTCAGCTAGGGCGATCGTGGTGGTGTCACGAGGACTATCACCTCTGTGCCACTTAGGCAGTGTAGTCTGGCCACCAAGGCCGATCGTATCGGAGTTAGACGCTTCCCAGGAGTCTAATCTGTCCGGGCGCCTGGTTTAGGGCCTTCACCTCAGCAGTAGCGCTTGTGCGTACTTGCCTTCTCTCCTCTAGGAGAGTCTGACTCATTCAAGTCGTCTGTCTTTATTAAAAAGGTGGTCACCACCTCCCTCGCGCCATATAGGCAGTACCGTCCAGTCCGATTGCATCGGGGTTGGACGCTTCTCCGGAGTCTATCTTCCGGGCATCTGGTTTAGGGCCTGGGCCCTTCCAGTAGCGCTTATGCGCGCTTGCCTGCCCTCCTTTGGGGAGGGGGAGTCTGCCGTAGTAGGTATCGCCTGTGTGCATTCCCCCGAATGAAGGGTTGACCTTGGAGCAGTCCTAGGCAAGGCGACCTCTAGGGATATAACGAACAAGTGTCACCGGCAGCAGCATCGGGGCAGCACCCCATCTAGTGACAGAAGCAAATTTGGCAGTGCATGCAATGTCCAAGCGTGAATATGTAGTCTCAAGGCTTGGCATGCAGATATTCTGGCACAGACAATGCAGACCAGATCAATGGGGCACAGACAAAGCAGGCCAATCAATGGGGCACAGACAAAGCAGGCCAATCAATACGGCTCGGACAAAGCCAGACAAATCCTAGGGCACAGGCAAGTCAGGCCCTACAGGGGTGCACAGGCGATAAACTGCCTTTCCCTTCTGATTAATTGTACAATTCACTCTTCAGAGAAGATGTACCTAACACTTCTTCAGATTAATGGCACATAACACTTTTCTGTGTAACTGTACTTAACACTCTTCAGTGTAACTGCACGTAACATTATTCTGTGTAACTGCACGTAACAATCATTCTGTGTAACTGCACGTAACATTATTCTGTGTAACTGCACGTAACAATCATTCTGTGTAACTGCACGTAACAATCATTCTGTGTAACTGCACATAACATCATTCTGTGTAACTGCACATAACGCTCTTCCGTGTAGCTGAACAGAACATGCTTCTGTGTAACTGTACATAACATGCTTCTGCGTAACTGTACATAACGCTCTTCTGTGCAATTGTACATAGCATTCTCCTCTGTGACCGTACATAGCATGCTTCTGTGTAACTGTACATAGCATGCTTCTGTGTAACTGTACATAACCTTTTTCTGTGTAACTGTACCCAACATTCTACTGTGTAGTTGTACATAGCATTCTACTGTGTAGATAATGCTCTTCGGATGAATAGTGCCTAACACTCTCTGTGAACTGTAACCAACTCTTCTGTAACAGAGTGAAAGAAACAGCTTTCCATAGGAAAACAGAGAAAGTGAGGTTGAAGAGATGAAGTGCCTTACTCTAAAGGGCTCAAACCTAACACTCCAGAAATATATTTATAGTAGTGACATTAGAATTTCCAAAAGGCAAACTAATACAACCTGCCTCCCCACCGGCGCCCGGACTGAGGGCCCTGCAGTGTGGGGAGGCCAAATGAGGTTGGGGGCTGTCACTCCACACGCCACAGCAAAAGATAACTGCTTTCCAGCAGTATGGGGAGCGTGGGAGGGAGACAGGCGGAGGGACAGTTCCTGCGAGTCGTTCTCCGTGGTCCCGGTGGCTGGACAGGACGGGAGGCGGTACTGAACCGCTCCCGCCGGCCGCTAGGAAAACAGAAAGACAACAGGAAGAAAACAGAAGGAAGCCAGAAAGAAAACTATGTACTATATATATAAAATCAGTTATCTTAAAGGACCACTCTAGGCACCCAGACCACTTCAGCTTAATGAAGTGGTCTGGGTGCCTGGTCCAGCTAGGGTTAACCCATGTTTTAATAAACATAGCAGTTTCAGAGAAACTGCTATGTTTATTAATGGGTTAAGCCTTCCCCCTATTCCCTCTAGTGTCTCATTGACAGCCACTAGAAGCACGTTCTCCAGCTGGAAAAGGTAAGTTTTTACCCCTTTCCCCTTCCAGAGCCGGGCGGGAGGGGGACCCTGAGGGTGGGGGCACCCTCAGGGCACTATAGTGCCAGGAAAACGAGTATGTTTTCCTGGCACTATAGTGGTCCTTTAATCCTAGGTTTAACTCCTATTAAAAACAAAGCACTTCCTGTATCCCAGTACTTATTTTAGCCCATCTCTAATCCTAAACTCAATAACCATTAATAACTAAATAACTCTTATACCACAAATATGACCCCTCTGAATCTTTTAATCCTCTTTACACTAAACACCCGTGAGCTGGTGACATTTCAAGTTAGTGGGGCACCAAATTGGACACATAGATTTGACTCTACCCCTAAACATTTTTAAACATGAGTAGGTCTATGCGCCTCTATTACTTCAAAAATACGTGGATAATACCATATTTAGGGAATATATGAGTA